ATTTTCTGTCTTCTTGTGGTCATTTTCTGTCTCTTTCGGGTCTTTTCGTGTCTTTTTTTAGTTATTTTTTTGGCCTTCGTGCCTTTATTTGAGAGTGCAGTTGAGAGAGAGACAGGAAAGGGGGGAGAAGAATGAGGGGAAGGACCCTCAGAAAAGGGCCATGAGAACTCATGACCTCCACATCAGGACTACAGCCCCTATACGTGGGCCGCCAGCTAAACCAGGTAAGCTGTAGCGGCACATCTTTTAGTGTCTCTTCGAGCTCATTTTGTGTCTTACTGACATAATTTTGCGTCTCATTTTGTTCGTTTAGTATTTTTTGGTCTCTTTATCTGGTTTTTAAAATATTTTTTAAACATTATGAGGTTATATTACTGATTTAATCTTCATGCAACAGAATTAAATGAATAAAACACATTAACCACCAGCTGTTTAAACTAAATATCCGCCCTGTTTTTCATCCCACTGAAGGACAAAGAAGGTTTTAAACCTGCACACCAGCGACGGCGGCTTCAAAAAGCTGCAAGTTAAACAGGAACCGCTCGAACACGCAGATTTCAATCAGCGCAGCGAAGTGAAACGGCCCGAATCGCTGCAGACGAGCGAGCAGCAGGGAAATGTTTGGGGGTATTTGAAGAAGGAAGATCAAATGGAGGGAGGAAGCCCACAAATAATCTGCCCCGCCTCGTTCCGGTAAAACGCTGCAGGTCGGCAGCTGATAATACGCAGCGCTGTGTCATCAGCAGGTTCATTTCAGGTGATTATCAGTAATCGATGAGACTGATTACACAGAATTTGGCACGAAAATTTTAAATCTTGGTGTCAAAATCTGGAATAAGACAAATTAAAAAGCTGTGATAAAATGCTTTTATTTAAACTTTACATCTGTTTAATTAAAACAGGACTCATGTTGACAACAAAAGCACCTTTAACATTAGTTTATCAAGAATACATTTTTTTAAAAATCAACTACTTAAGAGTGACTGATTATTATTGTTATTATTATAATGGATGTAGCCCAATCAAGGCAGTTTTTATCCGTTTTAACTGATTTCTATTGTTGATTAATCAGTCGATTATTTACTGCATTAATTGAGCCGCTTTTTTTGGCCGATTAAATGTCAGAAAAATGGTGAAAAATGTGATTCAGGGTTTCCTCAAATATCTTACTTTGTCCAAAGATCTTGAGTTAATTGTCACAGAGGAAAGAAACCAGAAAAATATTCACATTTAAGGAGCTGAAATCACAGAATTTAGTTTTTATCTTAAAAAAATCATCCTGATTCTAAAATCTGCTGGAGGCGACCAAATCAGAGCTAAAAATCTGGATTTATTCATAAACGTTCTCTGTCTGGCTTCAAATTGGAACTTTTTTGAATGTAGTTCGGTTTGATGAAGCTTCATAAAGGGCTGTAACTAATAATTATTCTAAATAACGATTGTTCAGTTTCTTGTTTGGCATCTAAAATATTAGAAAATGTTGAAAAATGTAGATCATGGTTTCCTCAAATGTCTTGTTTTGTCCAAAGATCTTCAGTTTATTGTCACAGAGGAAAGAAACCAGAAAATGTTCACATTTAAGAAGCTACAATCACAGAATTTAGACTGTTTTCATTTTTAAAAATTCATCCTGATTCTAAAATCTGCTGGAGGCGACCAAATTGGAGCTAAAAATCTGGATTTATTCATAAACGTTCTCTGTCTGGATTTAAATTTGAACTTTTTTGAATGGAGTCTGGTTTGATGAAGCTTCACAAAGGGCTGTAGCTAATAATTATTTCAATTGTTGATGATAAAATCTAGAAAGTGACAGAAAAATTATGATAAATGTGGATCAGTTTCTTGAAATGTCTTGTTTTGTCCAAAGATCTTCAG